TTGCTGAATGAACTCTTAACAAATTTGTACAAATTGCCTTGATGAATCTTTGATAGACATCTCAATTTCACTTTGTAGTCCTCTTAAACTTTGTTGTTCGATTTCCATCTTGAGGGATATAGCAGAAACAATTTAACATATGGACCATATTACAAGTACATAATTATTTGCATAATATATTACATAATTGACATGTGGCGCGCATCCATCGGTAGTCTACAATTTTTTACTTTTCCACACTTCACATCCACGGCCGGATTTCTTCCACACGAGCCTATGTAATTCATTATGTACATATAGATTTATCCTTTAACATATTATGTACTGGTGAAATTCTTTTGCAGCGATCAAGTTTCTCTTTCCATGGTAAAAAACCATTGATATTCTATTCTACCTTGCTTTCTTATCTTCAGATTTCCGAGTTGTGGATGATATGGTGGTGGTGGTAATTTTCAATCTCAAATCAAATTTATGTTATTTTTTGTGTGGAACAATATGTTACTACTGAAACACGAAATAATTGACATAGTAGATCAAAGTATGAACTGTCCAAATAAGAATTCTTAAACATTGAACAGTTAGTTCAGATATTAACGACCATACATTTTACTTGGTTACTAATAGGCGTCGCTCCTTCCTTTATTTTGTATTTATGAAATCTTTTGGCTATTTTATAGTCTGTACTCTGTAATAAGAAAATGCATTTGTTCAGCAAAATACCCCGGTTAAGCTACTTAAGAGTAAGAAATGAACTGAGTGACGAAAGGAATATAGTATGTGGTCGTCGTTAAAGATGTTAGTTTCGATTTTACTAGAATGGAGTGGGGAAAAATTATTTATGTAGCCGAGTAAAAGGTAAATTGTTGATGTTTATTTTGTTAATGGTTTTTCATAATTAGAGGAAGTGGGAAGGTGGAAAATGTAGTGTCCTTGTCTCCCATCCTTAAGAAAGGGACCTTCGCCGCTGCACCCTTGTCCCACCAAATAAATACATACATATGCTCGTAGTCTCTCTTTCACTCTTTTGCACAAGCATGCATATTTTCCAAGTTCTTCGAGTTCTTGAAACTTACAATTGAAAGATGAATGAACCACTTGTTCTTTGTGGTACATTATCTATTATCTAGGTGCATCATATTTAAATTTTGAATTTATAAAACCTCATTTGCAAAGTACTTCCCAATTACTCAGATGTATTTACTTGTATTTTCTAGAATTATACTCGTCTTGCAAGAAAGAGAGCAAACGAGAATATGTTTAGTACGTTCAGGTAGATAAGATAGTACAAAAATATCAAGTATTGTCTATTATAGTACGAAAACGTCCCTCATGCGTGGGATCCATTACATTTAAATAAGGGGAGTATGTATCTTGAGACACATTGACATTGTAAGGGCACATACAATGCACTAATCAGTCATTCTTGGGGTTGAAGATAGATACATTGAATTTATTCATCTTTGATCATAAATTGATTCTTTATGAAGAAAGATCTTTCAATAAGATTTATTTTTGGACGGTAAGGAATCATCAATATACCTCTTTTTTTTTTTTCTTTCTTTTTTTTTTTTTTGCCCTTTATCCGAACTCAAGAAGCTTGTTTCTGGTTATGATGTACGATTTTATGTGGTTTATGGAGAAGCAAAGATTAATATTTTTATCTTTTTAAACCTGCTTTCTCAAATATCTCGTTAGATCCCGTTGTTTGTATTCAGTCTTCAAGCTTCGAGCTCGATATCATCGAAGTCAAATTTTAGTGAATCGATTCTAATTCTTTAATATCACTTCAACTTTTTATTGTAGTAATTGAAATGTAATTAGTACCAACAACCACAAATACCGTATTTGTACACCTAATTATTCGAGGTCGACTTTTTTTATTCCTACACCTAACAACAAGACAATAAAAAAATTACAGAGAAAGAAACTCTAACCATTAATGCTATTCATAAAAAAATTATAAAAGAAGAACTTATTTGATAAAAAGTACTTATAAAAAGTTGACAAGCATGTGATTACTTAAACATTGTAGCTATAAAACTAATATCATAAATTTACTTCAATTATTTAATTTCATGATGGTAAAGGATTTAAAAAAAAAACTTGCTGCAGAGGATATTGGGCTATTTCAGATTTTATTTTATTTTATTTTTTAAAATTAAAGTCTATTAGAAAATTATTTTTAAATATTAGATTCCATTAATTAAAAATTAAGTATAGGCATGTGGACCAGGGATGCCTGGGATCTCACATTTTGTACCACCTAATAGCAGCATCTCTTCAGAAATTTAATACATCCAAACTTACACCAGACTATGTCCTGATAACCCATCCCCGGCTCCTCAGTGATGAGTAGAGGTTAACCGCGGGATATGCCCAAATTGACCAGAGTCCGTGCACTCTCTATATTCCTAGCTTCAAGGGAGCCTTTCTCCATGAATATTACATCACCGAGCTCCTCCACTCAAATTGAATATTACAACACTCAGCTGCTCTATCCAAGAATCGAACTTCTCACCCTGAGGTTGTTAGCCCAGCCATGTCCATCCTTTGCCAACTGGGATGTGCCCCGGGAGACTACACACTACATAATTATTAGTTACAAAACTAAAATGTCTGGGCAGTGGATAAAATGAAAATATAAATATAAATATAAATAAATATATTTCTATCGTTTTTAAACAGTTTAAACTTTTATACAATTATCAGTTTAAAAAGAAAATGTTAACGTGTGAGACTCACTAGTGAAGTATGATTATAATATACGTGTTAGCTTCGTGCATTTATTTTGTGTGAGTATTCCAAAATTTTGAACATGTTAATTAATTTTGGTTGATAAATAAAGGAATTTTAGCTCAATTTAGTGGAAATTAAAATCTAGATTTTAATTTAAATCAAAATAAATAATTAATTTTAATAATATATTTTATCAGATCCACAACTTTTTCAACTACACATTTAATTAATTTTTATCAAATAAGGTTCAAATTTTTATCAAATAACTCATATGAATAAATGAAGGGGAAAAAGGTTCAAATTTCTATGTTATTCGGCTTTAGAATAGTGTATATAATACAATTGGAGAGTCACGTGGTGTGCATGAAAGTAGGCACGGCACCTATTATTACTGACTCCAACCTTTATTTTAATTTCACAGTGTTCCTTTCTCGAAAACAACGAGTAGAGGTGGTGGTACAATTGAAATCCGTGCAAACAGAACCCTAACGAATTTCAGTGAAGGTACCCGAAAACCATGTGTTCATAGGCGGAGCAACCTCTTTCATGCCTTACATTATAAATTATACTAACACGATTGTATTAAAAACATTACATTACGAGAAGTTTCATTAGTGGTGTCCAAATTGATAGAGCGATTTAGATTCTGAAAATGACTCAATTTGTAAAAGAATTGAATAACGTAGCGAACTCGGTTCTTGGGTTGACTTGACGAATTTTCAGCCAACTTACATTAATATTGTTGATATCAATTTTTGTAGGGGTGAAGCGACCAACAAATCCCTACTCCTTTCACGTCCAAGTAGTCTCTTTTTGCATACTTCGACAAATCGTTAGTTTCACGTAACCTTCTATAGTGGTGGAGGAGGCAATCGCTAACACTCTGACGATCAAATCAGCCAATGATAACAGTGTATTGGATGTGAGACATGCTAAGCACGTGAGCCACAAAGTAAAAGTAGTCAAATTCAAGAGTATATAGAGAGAATAATATGAGCAATGTTATATTTGTTAGTATAAAATTGCATTACTTTTGAAATGGCATTGGATGTGAGCTTTTATAGTAAGATTGACGAAGTGGTGGTCATTGCATGAAGAAATACGTGATTGCATTCTAACGGTCAAGACATCCCATAATAGGTGTCATGTTACCCGTCACAAGTTTTGCATCATTCAGTGTTTTTTGAAATGGCGGTCGTTCTATAGCCTAAGTCTCACACCTATGGAAGACTTGACATGCCTGTTGCAAAGGGGCCACATCAGTCAATCATAGAACATTGTAGAGAAAATCTCTTTAAAGAAGCGTGGGTCAGAGATGCCTCTTAATTCTAACAGGTCCCTTGCTTTGTTCTTGGGGGTTTCATCATTTCTCATGACACTCCATTTAACTGAAGTGGTGAATCGTTTAAGGTTTCTATGCAAAAGGTGGTGTCTCGTCTCGGTCATGGAGCTTCGGCTTATACATGACGCTTCATTTGAGGCGTTTTAACACTTCGATGCCTTTATCAACAGGTTGTGGTGATGGCACGAAGTGTGGGCATGTGTTAATGTTCTAGTTGGCTGCCACGGTCTTTTTTTGGAGCCTCGTCAGACAAGACTCATCATTTTTATGAATTTTTCAATCATGCATTTCATCAACTTTTATAAAAAATTACTAAATATTTGATCTTTATCTAAAACATAGGCTTAGTGACAAAAAGAAAAATTCAATCCCGTGTCGGTGAATCATGCAGTGAACATAAAAATGTGACGTTCTTGCAACTAGGTATGGTGAAAACAATAATTCAACAACAAATGAAATTTTGTCCATGAGATAGATAAAGGCTACGTACACTTCCAACCGACATCTATGTATTGATCCCTCAATTTGAAATAAAAGCTACAATGATTTTGACTTTTAATACCCTTTTTCGAGTTAATCGTATAATGAAAAATATATTCTTTTCTTTATTTACGTCGAGTTCTAGCTTACGCTCCTATAATGTTTACTCGTGTAACTCAAAGAACAGATAAAGAAAAAAAGCAGAAAATCTTTGAAATTACAAAACTGTGTTCAAGAAATTACCAGATTTGGCACATTAACATCAAGTAGGAGGACATTAGATGCTATGCTCTACTTTTTCTGACTACATTTTTTTTTCCTGATTAATTCAAAAGAAAAAACACTGCAAAATTCGATAAGCTAGGAATAATAATTTGTTCTAAAAAATTAATAAAGTTAGAGAAAATTCTCTAAATTGATCTTTCAAGAATAACCTCCATAGCTAAATAAGTTGTCGAAAATCGGGCCCGATATGTTGATGAATCAAGTAATCATCACCGTTGGATACACCAAACATCATGTTAGGGTGAAGAAATTGTTGCTGCTGGGTTGTAACCATCTCCTTTTGTCGACGCAGCTCTAAAACTTTCCTGTGAGAATTGGAATGTTTAGTGAGCACGAAAGTCGGGCTTGCTGCGGGCCTGTATTCAGGAACGAGTCGACCCGACTTGTAACGCACACCACATGCATTGCAAAGTGTTTTAGGCCCCATGGGCCCGGTCCGCCACTGAGGCGTCTTATCCGTTGCACAGTGCAGGCACTTCCGCCCCTCGCCACCATTCGCGGTGGCTGCACTATCGGAACCCTCCTTCTTTCGCGGCACTTTCACAAGCTTCTTCCCGGAGCTCGAGACTATGTCAGACTCTGACGAGGATGAAATTGCTGCCGGGGAAGTTGGGGACACCACGGAAAGTCGGGACGTCCAGTTTCCGGGGGCTGTGCGCGAGCGCTTGCTGCGTGCCTTGGCAGGGACTGACATTTCAGGGCGGAGCATTCTGGGATTTCTGGTGGTTTCCGGCTGGAATTGGTATTGGTGAGTTCCTGAAACTTCATCAGTAGGGGCCTTCATTCCTTGTATCAGTTGCAGCTTCGGCAAATCCTCATTTGAAAATGATTCCTCCACAAAATTCGATAGCCATTCCAATTCAGCCAAATCATCACACTGCAAATTTTCCATCAGCAAGAACTATTGTCACTTCATTTTTCTAATGAAAAATCTAAAATTTTCAGCATAAAATTATAGCATGTTTGGCAGAGGCTTGACAGTGTCCAATACTCTCGAGTACAGCTTACCAAACACGAACTAATTATCTTATAATTTGGGTTTCTGTATTATTCTCAGCCACCAAACTGGAGAAGCACACGTAATATATTTAACGTGCAATTGTGTTACACTACTAATTTTCAAAAAATTCTGGTAAAAGATTAAATTTTTTTACACAATTTGCATGAATTGGTAACAAATTACCGGCACGCAAATTTCACTAGAGAACTGGCCATCAGTGAAAGTCCGGCAGCCACCAATATTATCACCAGTTAAATGGGTTTCAGCCGTTCTTTCAGAGAAGGATGAATTGCATGAGATATCCACCGCCGTGACAGTGGAGGAGTCGATCGAGTTTCCGGTCGTCACGGCCTCGAATGAACCATCCGTTACCATACCATCGTCACTCGGGAAGTCTAAAAGGTCCTCAACGATGAAATGATCACCGTTTCTTGCGTCGGAAAGACGTTTTTCAGGCGTAAATTGGGGGTTACAGTAACCTCCCTGGAAGAATTCTGGATTTTCCATTGAATTTTCTTGAATTCACAAGGTCTAAAAAAGAGGGAGAAAATTAAAGAAATGGACGAGTATGTGTATGTTTATAGAGAGAGAGTTGGGAGTGAAAGTTTTGAAGGGGAGAGAGGTGGGCGAAGAAGTGAGGAGAGGGGTTTATTTGCGTTAAAAGGGGACAGTCGGACAGCTAAAAAATTGGATTTTGACGAGGAAAAAATATGGCTTTAAAAAAAGTAAAGATTTGGTAGTTTTAAAATTAAAAAAAAATGTCCTTAGTCCATATTCAGAAAAGAAAATAATTATATTTCGGTGTGAAATTACTAAAATATCCCTCATTTATGGACTACAATTTTTTTTTTCTTGGTATACTTTGGTGGTCCACATAGGAATGGCCTTTACTTAAGAAGTAGGTCATCTCAAGAGACACTTTATGGGATATGATGGCAAAATTCACTGCAAAAAGTGCAATGTACATTAACTATATGTTACCTTTTTATCAATTGTAACCTAACTAAAAAGAATTTAGGGCATATTTGGAATTTCAACTAAATAAAAACAAATGTAATTATGATAAAACATCACCAAAATTGTCCAATACAATTTATCTTCCCTAATGAACCGATCAATTCGGTTGAAATGTTCAAATCAGCTGTTAGTCCTATAATATTATTCCAATTGACAATTTTTTTCTAATGAGTAAGAACCTATAAAAATTAAAAATAAGGCCCACATTTTATCTACCTATGGTCCAACCCCTTCTCCAAACATTACCAAAGCAACAACCACACAATCATATAAAGGTTGCTTGTAAGTTACCATCCTTATTGTCTACAAGGGCATTTTAACCTTTATGTACTACGATTCTGATATTTGAAAATACAAAATTTACAGAAAAAGTACATCTCGAGATACACGATTTACGTTAATTCATCCTAGCAATGCTTGTTTTTAAAAATTAAAATTAGATTGATGATATTCATAGTTAGCGAATATAATAGTCATCTTGTGTAGCAACTTGTTATTTGAGGTAACAAAATTACAGAAAAAATAATACCTCAAATTGCAAGAAGGCAACAAGATTAATACTGCAGTAGCTAATTATTAATAATAGTATATTCTTATAAGAAGGCAACAATTCAATGGTATCTCGGAATCGAAAATGGCTAACTCTCAATGAAGATTGATACGTACAAATTTTAGAGTCATGCTTGATGTACATCATGCATGAAATTTCTCTTACTAAGGTGTGGGGCCCACATTTTAAAAAATCATGGGCCCCATATTTTTTTGTGAGATGAGTGTCAAAGTTAATGTATAAAAAAGTGTACAAATGATATTACTCCAAATTTTATTGGAGACCCATTTGTAACTATAAATGGTCATAAATTATTCTTGAGTTCAACTTTTGAAAATGAAGTAAGTAATTATGGAAAAGTAATTAATTAATCTACAAATTCAACTCCTTTGGAACCGATCTTGCAGGTTTGTCGCTGGGGCTCGTGCATTAGCATCCAAGTTTACAGCCCGATTCATCTGCTTTATCATCGGAACTCGTGCTTAAATTATCTCTTTTTTATTTTAAAAAATAAAAAATATCTGATTTTCAGCCTTATTTTATTCTTTTAACTTATTTTCAACCTTTTTCTTTCTTTTTTTATTATCGTGTTACAGATTTCAGACAGACCCCACTAATAAGCAGGAAGTAAGTTTTGCTACACAAACATAATGATTGACATAGAGGATGACACAACACACACATGTGGAGGTTGACATTATTTAATTCAGGTCGGGACCCACATGCAATGTGAATGGTCGGTCAATCCCAATGTCAAACATTATATTCATTTAGCTTAATTCGAATGAAGTTCTCGTTTGGTCTTCATTAAATTATAATTCATTTTTTTTCTTTTCATATTAACCACACAATATCCAATAAAATAATATTACACATAAATTTAAAACTGTCCATTCTCTTTTAATCGTACATTCTTCAAAAAATTATTACTCTTCTCATTATAACGTGAAATAAATAATGGGGTCAAACTTGAGCGAAGTTTACAGCTAACTTGATAGAATTGATGGCACTTTATCCGACACTTATCCGACTGTGGCGAGATCTTTGGTATTTCTGTTTTGCGATTTTACCTCCGGAATGGCCATGTCGAATTCGAGCAAACCCAAGGTAAAAAGAAGGGGTTTGTGGACACGTGTCAATTGTTAGTTAGTAAAAACCAAGTGTAGTGGGGCCTACTTAAATTGACACCGATCCCTACGCTGAGGAGTGGATAAGAGTGTTACTGCTGTCATTTATAGACAATCAATTGAAACTCGTGACCAAAACAAAAAAAGTAAAAAATAAAAAATAAAGCATTTAAGTAATTACACGAAAATGAAAAATTACCGATTTTTCAAATAAATTTTATAGATAATTTCCTCTTTACTAAAATTCTAGAATGGATATACCTAAAATGTAAAAATCCTGTTTTTGACAATCAAGAGTCAAGAAAATATTAAATTTAAAACTTAATATTAAGTTTAAAGAGATATTCAAGTTTACATATAAGAAATAAATATTATATTTTTAACGATTTATTTCTATTTAAAAAACTGACATATAATATGAGCTCGTGAAAATCTTACTGTAGCGTAAATATTTGGACGTCGTCTTTTTTTTTTCTCGAATTTTTTAAAGTATTTCGATTTTATATTCTATATTAAACTTCTATCGTAAATAACAAGATCTTACTACATGTACATCAAAATTTATATAATGGATTACATTATGTCACGTGACACTATATTATTTGTCAATTTAAAATACAATTAACTTTTTTATCCAATATTTTCCCTCCACGTCATATTATATAATTCATTATACATATTTTTATGTACAAGTAACAAAATTCTAAATCATAAAAGACCATTAGAGCTGAACTAAAAGGGTATCCCTTCAAGTGCAATGGAGGTCGTCAATATAGACCTTTTTAATCGTCCACTAGCTTGTGAAATAATTTTGTACTTAAAACTTATAGAGCGGGAGAGAGAGGAGTTGATGGGATTATTATTTTTCTTTTTAGAATTTTTTAACATACCTAAAAGCTTTTTTAAGGTAAAAAAAAAACTCTCCAATCTTCAAATGGCACGTGAGAGAGTGGAGAGTGTGTCAGCTAAGCATGTGAGTGCCGAATCCAAAAGAGTCGGTATTCAATGCCACGTTGCGAGAATCTAAGAGGGTTTCACCTTTCTATGATGCCTCCGACGATATTTTAGCTTCATAAGTAAATGCATTGCCGTGGGGTTGGGGGGTTGGGAGGGGTCGACCACGTGACAGGTAACGTGGAAGGGACACCACCCCTCCTCTTTTTCTAACTCTACCGTCCACACTATGAATCAATAATTAAAAGTAGTAAAATTGAGGTGGAAAAAAGATTGTATTTGCAATGTCTATTTTGAAATTTTGTAAAAAAAAAAAAAAGGTTAGAAAATGGAAGAATATATCAAAATTAGCACGACTTTTTGATTGTTGAAAATTTAGTAGTTTTCTAGTGAATTGTCTTGAACAAAAGTTGAAAACAGGATAAAGGGACGAGGCAATATGCATTTTATACATTAGTAGACTTGTGAAAGTATGGAATCCAAGTCCTAGGTGGAGAGAATGAATTTTCAAACCATTTTTCATTAAAGTTCGAGTATATTATCTGTCAAATTGTTTTTTCGACGTGCCTTCTCTCGCATATTCTGAATTCGAGTATTTCATTAAAAATTTAACACATTTTCAATATTCATAAATAGGCGATGATAATGATACTGGTAGTTAGAGAAGATATAAAAATATTTATTTAGCCCCTCAGATCCACAATTTTTTAACTATACATTTTTCAGCCCAAATTTATTACAAAATGATTTTTAACTATTGTGTTCTCATCATTTTATTTGCATGGAAAAAACTATAATCAATTCTAAATTTATCTATGTTGCTTTTGTATTACAATTGGCAAGGAGAGACTATGCCACTTTGATTTCCATAATTGGAATGGTCTCATGTCGACTTACTTTTTTCTTTTTTAGATTCTTATTGATTAAATTTCTTCTCCAAATCTAGCTTTATCTAATTTATTTACTACTTTAGAGTAAAACTCAATGTTTCTTGTTAGAGACTTTGTAAAGGGAAAGTAATTAACCCCTGTTTAGTAAGGATTAAAATTTAGTTTTTAATTTAAATCAAAATTAACAATTAATTTTAAACACATATTTTATGGGATTTACAACTTTTCAATCACACATTTTATCAGAATCTATAAAAAAAATTGATTTTAGTCACCACCGAATTATGATTCATTAATGTGACGAAGAACTATTAGTTGCAAAGAAAATCATATGGGCAAGTTTCGTAAATTGCGATGAATCTATGAACTAAATTACGATTCACAAAAAGTTGCAGTATCGAGTTTTAGAGCCCTAAAAATATTATTTCGAGAATTACTAGAAGATTATAGACCTTCGAATAAGGTTTAGAAGGAGCACTACAATTCCAGGTCACTATTCGGGTAAATTTGCAATTTTAAGCAATGAAGGGTAAAATTGCATATTTTTATAGTTAAAAATGTTGTAGTATAAGAGAGAAATAATTTGACGGGCAATTCATTTTAATTAAGTCGGAATTTATTTGAATTTTTGAACGCAAAATGACTTAAATTCAATTAATTTGAGCGTACAGGACAAGTAGATCCCATTTCATCCTTAGCCACGGGCATTAATTAACGATATTCAATGATTTTTATTTGTCTAAAATTAGAAATTAATTGAGATTAAAAAAATTTCTAAGTGATTTTTGTGTGATTGAATTTGACTTTTGCCATATCCATACGATAAAAAGACGGGTTAATTTTAGTCTTGTTCATTGTACTTTGACCCAATTGTCAATTAGATTATTGTACTTGTATTTCTCAACTATATCAATATACTTTAATTTGATTTCACATAAGGTCATTACATCCTATTTATTAAGAATAATG